AGAAATAGCATAATATATCATGCAACAAATCTTCAGCTCTGTGGGCACCATGAATTCAAAGGTGCTGATCTACTGAGATGCTATGATAGCATCCCTCCAGTTATTGTGGGGGTCTGGTTTGAAATCACAGCACCCAAAATACATTATGAAATGAACTGGCTGCCAACTTATAAAAGTAATTTTCAAAACCATGGGATACTTTTAGAAGGTGCAAATATGCCTGGGAGGCATGGAACTCCTGGAACACATGGTGGTCACAAGGACTTTATATTGTGTGAATTGGCACTCTCTCTCTCTCCAAATATCTGGTGTTGGGTAGCAGTTGTGCTGCCTTTTAGAAGTGCCGCTTTGCTTCTACCTCTGCTCTGCCAAGTATACTTGCAAATGAAGTTAATATTACAGAAATGCCCTAAGTCTCCAGGACTTCCTCATTCAAAGCATGCCAAACCCGGGAACACCTCCCCCCGAGAACTTCTCACTGCTTGGAGACATGGGAAGCACCTAGCTGTGGCAAAGAGGATTAAACATGTTCCCTAATAGGATTTACTTTGCTTTATTATTTTTTGGGGGTGGGAAACGCCAAACTAGTGTTAATTGGGTATTTTATTTTACTGATCTAAGGACTGCAGTTGTGTTTTTAAATTGATATCTGTCCCAAACCCTCGGAACCGGGTGGATTGTGGAAAGCAGCTCACTCTTGAATCACCAGACACCCTCTGAACAATGCACAGCAGCCCTTTGGAGCCAGTTTGGTGTAATGGTTAAGTGTGCAGACTCTAATCTGGGAGAACTGGGTTTGATTCCCCACTCCTCCACTTGCACTTGGCTGGATGGCCTTGGGCAAGCCATAATTCTGGCACAGCTGTCCTTGAAAAAGAGCAGTTTCTGTCAAGAGCTCTCTCAGCCACACCTACCTCACAGGGTGCCTGTTGTGGGGAGGGGAAGGGAAAGGAGTTTATAAGCTGCTCTGAGACTCCTTTGGGTAGTGAAGGGCGGGGTATAAATCTAATCTCTTCTCTTCTTCTTCTTTGCCCCTCCTCCAGTGCAACTGTAATCACTTTCTTATCCTTCCTTTAAACCTTCTCTCTTCATGCTCTAGGGCTCATGCACACATGTACCCTTTTCCCCAGCATCACAGCTGCCATTTTCCTCTTCCAGGGAGACAAACTGAGGTAAAATTGAGGTAACTGTACATTTTCCCCAACAGGGCAACTTACAATTTGAGGTGGTGGTGGTTTGCTTTAGGAAAGCAGCGGAGGGAAGCTTTACCCACCCAGGCACTTCAGGCCTGCTCTGAAACAGTGTGGTTGTTGCACACACTGCCATTTCATGATGGAATTCACCTACTAAGCCACCATTGTGTGACTGGCCTCACCCACTTTTTAAAAAATCCTCTTTCATATTTTACAGGCCCTCCAAATCAGTGCTTCTGAACCTGTGAGTAGTGACCCACAAGTGGGCTACGGGTCCTGCAGAAGTGGGCCATGGGCTCTTGTAGGCGTATGGCAGTCATTCCCTTCCCCTCCTCACCTTGTGCCTAGCCGAAATCACGCTGAATCTCTGAGCTGCAGCCAGCCAGCCACCCAGCAGCCTGTGGTGAACAAGGCTGAAGCTGCAGCTGTGCCTGGAAAGCAGCACACATACCGTCTTGCACAGTACAGCAGCCAGCTCTGGCGTCCGTCCCCACCCCCCTATTTTTGCCTTTCTTTGTCTGCCCTCCTCCCGCCACTCCCCTTTGATGGTGGTAATGCCACCTAGCTGTTTCTCAGTGGCCACATTTGTGAACTGTGCCTGCTGTTGCAACAAATGGCCAAAGGAGTAACTAGGGGTACCAGCCTCCAGGTGGGTCCTGGAGATCCCCCAGAATTACAGCTCATCTCCAGACTAGAGAGATCTGTTAACCTGGAGAAAACCTGGGGGGGAAACTCTAGGGCACTGTATGCCACTGAGATCCCTGTCCTCCCCAGGCTTCACCCCCAAATCTCCAGGAGTTATCTCAACCTGGATCTGGCAAGCCTAGGGGTAACCTGCCCTAGGAAATGTTCCAGTTGTGCTCTTTGCTGCTGCTTGCTCCGGCCCTGCCTGGTGCAGCAACAGCTCCCAGGCTGTGTGTATGTGCGGCCACTTGTGTACTTGTCTGGGTAGAGTGTAGGTCACGGGCAATAGTGCTGAGATTATTATACTTTGGTAGCCCTCAGGGGAGAAACTGCAGGACCAAGCTTGCCCTTGGCTCATTGTCTCCAATTGCTGGGGAAGCCACAGTTGATATCCATCTTCCAGGCCCACCTCTTCAGTCTTCTGCAAGGAAAGAGCCAGTGCAGACTGGGGTTATGGGGTTCTGACTGGTGCCTATCCTGGAGGATGATAAACACTTAGCAGCTGTTAGACATGATACAGTGTTCCCTCTAAGCTGAGTTAGTGTGAGCCAGCTCAGTTTTTTTAGCCTCCAGCTCACAGATTTTTGTCTTAGCTCAGGGAGGAGGGCTCCAGAGCAAACTAATGTATGCAGTAGCCAAATCGCTCACTCACAACTTTTAATGCCGGTAGCTCACAAGGTAGGATTTCTGCTCACAAGACTCCACAGCTTAGAGGGAACATTGGACATGAAACTAATGCTGCATTTCATTTCTCAGATCACGAAGTCTGCCATGTTGATTCATGAGCTCCTGACTAGCAATGTTAACTTTTGAAAGCTGGCCTTTCGCTGGGTGGGGTTAAAGATCAGTATAGCAGCCCTCAGTGTTCCCACTAAGCTCCACAGTGTTATGAGCAAAAGTTCTACCTTGAGAGCAAAAAAGCTAGTAGCATTAAAGTTGTGAGCAAGTCTACATTTGACTATCGCATACATTCGTTTCTTAGATTATTTCCATAACCTTGTAAAAATCTCAGGATGAATTCTTTTCAACTACATTTTAACGATAATTTAAACATTATAAGAGAAAACAGAATCACATCAAATTTCATTACAGAAAATATTGTCCTCTATGGGGGTAGACCAGGCCTCCAGTGAACAGGTCTACCCTTCCCTTTGCACTACATTGGTAGACCTGGCCTCCGGAGAACAGGTCTACCCATCCCTTGCCACAAGCTACAAGCCCTGAGTAGCCAACTGAAATGCTGTGCACCAGCACCCCCTAGCGCAGCTTAGAGGGAACACTGGTAGCACCGGTGGAGGAATAGAATTATCTTCCTGTATGTTCGTCTCATATGATTGTGTATTATTTTTCATTCCAAGAAGGATCTCTCATATGTGCTCCCCAGTCCTATACCTCACAAGCTTACAATGCTGGCTCCATTCCCTCCCTCACACCAGCCATTAATCGATAGAAAGTGGGGACTCTGGATAGGACATACTGGTCTGAGCTGATGATCAGAAGAAATGTTTCCCAAAAGGAGAAATGTTCCAATGAAGACAAATGGAATATCAGAGAAGAGAGAGAGATCCTTCAATTCTAAAACAGTATTTTAAGAGGAAGGAGCTTCAGGTTTGATATCTGAAGCTTTTGGCTAAACAGAGAGCAAACCCAAGAAAACCCCAATCTTTTCCCCATGTTTTGCTTTCTCGGTCTCTCCTTTAGAGAAGAAGCAAATGAGCTGGCAGGGGCTGGGGCCCTGGCTCTGTACATCCAGATGAGGCCAAACCCTCCCCCCTTTCTGTTGGTTTTCTCTGAACTATATACATTTAATTCAACAGGGCTTTCTTACAAAGCAATCCTATGCTCACTGGCCTGGAAAAAGCCCCGTTGAATACAGACACTGACTTCAGAGTAGACATGCATAGGATTGTGCATTCCGACAGGGGTGTGGAAGAGGTGTATTAATTATTCATGCTTGTTTCAAAATTAAATTTTAAATAGCCAAAGAATAAATAGATCTGGTAGCCTTCAAGGTTCGACAAGATCCTTTTGCTGTGTTTATAATTTTTATAGCTCATGAAGCTCTAACCTGCAATCAGACAGTTGCATTTTTATATGTGCATTAAAAAACTGAATAACTTATATAAGTGCAATCAGTATCTCAACAAACTCCACATTAACAGGTGTGTTAAGTAAAATTTTGCTTGGAAGAAATGGTTATAAAATAGTCAAACTTGCAGTTACAATCAGGGCTTTTTTGTAGAAAAAGCCCAGCAGGAACTCATTAGCATAACAGGCCATACCCAACAGTCAGGAATTCATTAGAATATTAGGCCACACCCTGACAGCACAGTTCATTCGCATATTAGGCCACACCCCCATGTTACCAGAAGTGTGGTCATCCAGCCACACCTACCTTTTGCTTCTTATTCTCTTTACCTTGTTTGTTGTTAAAACCCAGGGCTGTTTGCATGTTAGGCCACACACCCCTAATTGTAGTCAATCCTAATGAGTTTCTGCTGTTGGGTGTGGCCTATTATGCTAATGAGTTCCTGCTGGGCGTGGCCAACTTGGGAGCCAGCCGGAACTCCGTTCCTGTGCGTTCCTGCCCCTAACCCTGCCCCTAACCCTAACCCTAACCTCAAAATAGCCCTGATTACAATGCATGAAAACAATGGCTGTCAAAAACCTATTGTCCAAAATTCATGTGACGATAAATCAATGAGTCGCCACACCAAGTAAATTTGAATGTGTGGAGCACCATACCAAAAAAGGCTGGGAATCGATGCTCTAAATAACTGTTGTAACCAGCATCTTTTTCTACCAGATTTAAACAAAATTAAAAGAATTTAAAATATATGCCATGGGCAAACATTGTCATGCAACTAGGCTGGTTATTCTGGTGTGTGTGTGTGTGTGTGTGTGTGTGTGTGTGTATATATATATATATATATATATATATATACACACACACACACACACAGTACAATCCTACGCAAAGTTATTCCACTCTAAGCCCATTTAAACCAATGGGAGTAGACTGAGGTAACCCTACATAGGATTGCAATGCCTAAGTATGAATGATAAGGCAACTTGGATGTTCAGAGATATAGAGCATACACAAATGTACATTTTCCAGAGCTAGATTGTTAAATTATGGTGGAATACATGGAACACATAAATGTCTATTTTTATGGCTGATGAAATAAAAATAGCCACAAGACAAAGGGTGCCACCACCAAATGCCCAGTGCAGTTTTAATTTAAAGTTATTTTAATTTACAAAACTACTGTAGAATCCGTGTGCTAGATACTCAGCAGGCAAGTGCATATATTATGATGGTGCTGGAAATGTATTGAAACATAATTGCTTTAGCATTTCTTTTTTAAAAAAGAAATAGCTGTCTTCATCTAGATTGAAGATTCCTTTGCAATGGCTTCTTCCCTGCACAACAAAAACAAATGTTAATGAATTGTACAGCAATGATGCAGCTCTGCATAATACACACTACATTGCATGTAGGACAGCAATCACTCACCCTCTCTTAAGAGAAGACATAGTACACCATTAATACGCAACCTGCAAGCCAGCCAAGCAAGAGAAGCACAGGTACAACCAAACGGGAATATGGGATTGTCCCTGAGGAGAAAAAGCAACAATTTTATTTACAAGTTGGGATGAGACCAGTTATTGCCTCTGGTGTCTAATCACAGGCAAAACATAAAACTCTGTAAAGTTTAGATTATTAAGGCAGTAATAATCTGGAAATGAATACAAGGGGAAAAGACTGATTATGGGATTCATTCCAGCATGTTGCCCTGATGAGACATTAGTTCAGAAATAAAGTGTCACAACACTGAAAATTGGCAGATACTCTACATGCAAAAGGAAGATGTTCCCATTTGTATTTTCTTTGTTAAAAATGTGACACATTGGGAACACGTCTGTATTAAAAATAGTATTCCGGTGTCAAGTTGTGTCACTTAGACACACAACAAAATCCTTTCCTGAAACGTTAAAATGTCTTCTAAAATTCAGATTTTGCAACAAAAATTAATTCCAAAATCTGAAGAGAATTAGTACAGCAAGTTATTTACCCAAGCTTGGCAACAAATGGACCTCAGGTGCAACTTTATTTGATGCCAGTTCAAAGTGATGTCTCAATACAGCCCATCATAAAGTTAAGCACAGGCTTAACAGTGCCAAGCTAAGCAGAGGTACACCGTTCCAAGCCCACTAAGGGCAAAACTTTACTTAGGATTGCACTGTAAATCTCTTCCATTAAAATTAAATGTTAGAAAGAGCTAAATCTGTGTCTGTCACTGGCATTTTGACATATTTGTGCTTAACATAGTGCGTGCTGTTCATGACGGACATGATGCTGTTGACAGAATTTGTCTGCTACAAAAGATTAATGGTATAAACAATAGCCACTGTAATTTATGATGACCAATTTTCACTTTTTTGTTCAGAATAAGCACTTGTTGTGGTAAGACTGCGTAGTGTGGTGTTTTGACAACTTTGTTCTTTCAAATCCACTCCAGGACTTGGTGTGGACAGGAACAGGGAGAAAGAAAATTGTACTCACAGTAGCTCCAGACAGAGAAATAAGTGAATTTATTAAACTGTGCCCCTGTGTGAAACCATGCTGCCTCTTGATTTGGATACCTAACATTAAGAATACAATACATAGTATAAACTATGGCTTGGATCCAACACAGCATTTCCACATTTAGAAGAACTTCTATCTGTGGGACATGACTTTTCCACCTCCCCCCTCTCACTCAATTTCCCCCTGTTCCCAAGAAGCAATATTTCAGAGGTCATTTGGAGATGTCACAAGAAAGGGGAAGAGAGAACACTGTGATCCACAGACAAAAATCCTTCTGCCTGTGAAAATGCCTGTGGCAGATCCAAGCCAGAGTGTAGCAAATCCAAACATGTGATTTATAAACTTAATCTAGAGTTATCATTTGCTGACATTCAGCAGCAGATTCTCCCACTGTCATGCTTGCCTCCCACCATCAAAGATGTTCCCAGCTTGAAAAAAAGCAGGAGGAGGGTGCCTGACATGGAAGTGATGTAACTTTCAGGTTATGCTCCCGGAATCCAACACATCTCTATGGTTTTTACCATAGAGACTTTGAGGAAATTCCTAGAGCATTATCCAGAAGTGATATCAGTTCTGGATCACACATGACCCTCCCCAGGTTTCACCCCAGAGTTTTTTCTAGCCGAGTTAGCAGCAGACGCCTGGTAACCCTACTATGACCAGGAGTCATTCTGTTTTGACCAGGAGTTCTGCTCAGTTCTGTTCCACTAGCCATATCTGGTTCCTAACATTCCATCACACTTGAGTGTCACCAAGATACAACATCCAAGGTGGGCTTTGTGAACTGAAACAATAGAGAGAGACAAGCAGTATGTTTTAAGCCTCACCTCAATGGTATCTTTGAGTGACTATTTCTCTTCCTAAGGGAGCAATTCCCATTCATTCCCAGAGGGAAAACCGTGCACTGTAATCTTGGGGGCTGTGAGGCTACCCAGCCTCCAGAAAATGATATACCATGCAGGGGAAACAAATGATAATACGTGTCTGTGTACTTATAGCAAAGAGCTGTACTGTACACCAGAGTTCCCTCTAAGCTGTGGAGTCTTATGAGCAAAAATTCTACTTTGTGAGCTACTAGCATTAAAGTTGTGAGCAAGCAATTTGGCTACTGCATAAATTAGTTTGCTCTGGAGCCCTCCTTCCTGAGCTAAGACAAAAATGTGTGAGCCAGAGGCTAAAAAACTGTGAACCAGCTCACACTAACTCAGCTTAGAGGGAACACTGCTGTACACCAACTCAGGGTTCCTGAACCTACAAGCATGCTTGCATGCACACACACAATTCATCATCACAACAGATTTGTGAGTGTCTGCATATGCATGTGTGTTTTTATGGGAAAAAATGCCCAGGAGAGACTATGGTGATAGGAGCAAGTTTGATTCTCAGTGGCTGGAGGTCAGCCATGGGGGGGAGAAGTTTCAGCCTCATCCACTGTAGTAGCCCTGTGTATAGCTACTGCTTTCCTCTGTATAAGTGAACGATTGTTAGTCACTCCTATGAGGACAAATTGAAGGACTGCTCTTGCTATTGCAATACGGGCTTCAGTGACAGGATCTTGCAAAGGGTGTCATGTAGCTGGGCTCCCAGAAATGCACCCTCGGAGTTGCCACATGTCTCTGAAAGTCAAGGTGACTTCAGAGGTCTTTTCGATATACAAACCTTTCATTGTCATCCCATTTAATAGGCCACAGAGAAGTTTTCTAAAAGAGCAGAGCTGTAACAAATGCTCGTTAACCAAGATCCAATTTAGTTGATTTAAGATAATGAAAACTGAAGGGTCGGAGAGACTGCTATGCCCACCATATGTCAGGAGGCAATGAGCAGCTGGCTGAGAGAGATATTGTTTCAAGGGAATCATTACAAGCCAGCAGGCCAGCAGCTGGCACACAGACAAGAAGAAGGAGGGTGGTCAGGAGTGCACATTCCCAGAAGAAATATTCCAAGGAGACGCTCTGCCCTGGGACTTCGTTCAAGATCACTTTTGTATTTTACTCTTTGTTTATTCCACTGATTATTTCCTGCTAGTCGTTCTTATGAAGAGCCAAAACAGTTGGCAAAACATTCATTTTCAGTATCAGAGCCTATCAGTTAAAATTAATTTCATAAAACTGCCACTTTGATCAGATATATCATTAGATCAAACTGGAAAACAAAATGGAAACATTGTGGCAAAGTGGGTACATATATACACTGTTGGTGGGACTGCTATAAGGTAAAAACTTTCTGGCGAAAAATATTGTTCCGATTAAATGTATTACTGGATATCCTGTCTTCAAACATCCTAAAGTTATTCTTCTACATCTTTGGGAAGAAGTTGAAATTCTGACTATAAGGAAAAGTTAATCTTTTTACTCGCAGTAACCAAATCTCTGCCAGCATCTAAATGGAAAAATAGAGTGCTACCATCAATGGTATAAGAAAGTATGGGACCTTTTTATCATGGAAAAAAATTCAGACCAACTACAGGGCATAGAGAATCCATTCTTATCAATCCGCATTTTTAGAATTATGGCTTCGTTTTTTGGACTATTTTACCAACAGAAACTATTCAGAAACTGCAATCCCAACTTCTTATAGTTTCCTGGCACAATTTTAAATATAATCTGACTCCGTCATTAATATGCAATACTTAAACATTGTAGTGACAGAAGACATATACTGGTTATATATCATATTGTGCGCCATCCACTTTTTTCCACAGTTTGTTATTGTTAACTACAGTTTTATAGACTGTTTACATTATATTTGTTGGTTCATCATGAATATTCTATACTGCTGTATTATGTTTAAGAAAATTAAAAACAAAAAGTTTTTTAAAACCCTGGAACACAAAAGTTCCCTTGAAATACACAGACGTCTTGCTGGGACAAAAATTATTACTACATCCAATGCCAAACTGCCAATGTGGATACTGAAAGCCACGTAATTGGGTCATCCCTGGACTAGGCAGAGGTCTCTCCATAATCAGGGGTTTTCCTCTGGTACCTAGAAAGTGGAGTCAGTGGTAGAGCATCAGGTTTCCATGCAAATGGTCCCAGGTTCAATCCTTGGCATCTCTAGTTCAGGTAGTGGGTGATATGGAAGACCTCTACCTAAACCCATGAAGAACTGTGTTTTGAACTCAGGTTCTGATGAACCTCTACAGGAAGAGAATTACATCAGGACAAAAACACAATGTAATGGTCCCTTATTTATGCCCAAACTCAGCAGAGAAAACAGGCAATGATACTGGAAGCCAGGGACCATCTGCAGTTACAATCAGAAATTTCACAGCCACTCTCCTTTAGAAAACTCCTTTGGTTTTACTGAACAATTTATTTTAGGCAATTGGGAATTTTCCCATTGGTGCCATTGAGCTTTGGAGATAGTTGAGCTGATCGGTATTCTGCATGGCCAAGATCTGAGTAGCACTTGAAGAAATAAAACAAAGAGAACTGTGAACAGCAGGAACCTTAGATGAAACATTGGGTTTCGTTATCATTGCCTTACATCTTCCCCTTTGGATACTAATTTTGGCCTTTTTCCTCACACTCCTGTCCGTAAGATGGCTCCAGAAAATGTAAGAAACTCCAGGGGAAAGAGGAAATATCATTAATTCTGTCACACCAGCTCAGACGAGACTGGAAGATCTGAGTCCATTTCTCACCCAAACACTCAGCAATCAGACATGATTAGCCCACAATAAGAAACCTCCATTAATTTTATAAGGGGCTTCTTGCCACAAAAGATGTCCCTGATGTCTTTTCAGCTGGATCTTAGCTATCGTGTCTTCTACCTCACAGAGCACTCATGTCCATATCTGCAACCATTCCACTCCAAGCCCAGTTTTTCCAATGCCCTACTGTTTAAATTTTTCTCATCTTCTTGGGCCCACCCAGTTCTGCCCCACTAGCACAGGTTGGACCCATACTTGACCTCTCCCACAAACATACACACTCTCTTTCTGTTCCAGACCCCCAAAGAAAAGATTTTAATGCTAGTCTGTTGCCTCTTTGCCCTATAACTAGGGATAGAATCCTTCCACAAAGTATCCTTTTCCTCCCATGAGACCACACTCTGGCTTATGAACGGCTTGAATGCCTGTCTGATGCATAACACATGGTCCCCCTTCTTTGCATCAGCATTAGATCCTAGGATAGGTAGCTAAGTCTTAATATTGATCATTCTCTGACACTCTCTCCCTCTCTTTGGTTGCATATGTAAAGAATAATGCCAACTGAATAGAGGAAAGTACACTCAAAATACTGTTTGTTTTGCATTGCAAATTCACCAGTAAAAGTGCATGGAGTGCCTGACTCAAAGGAGTTTGGGCATTGCAAGCAAACATTATTTTTGAGGACTGCAGCTTTACTAGCACAAATCCTGTCCCAATTTTTCTAGAACCAATCAATGCAGCCCTGTTTTTTAAATGTCTTTGCACTGCCTGCCTATAGGAACCTGTTTGTTTACACTATATTCTGTTTGCCTACTTTTAAAATAAAACAAAGATTGCAAAGATTTTATTGTCTCCAGGGCTATCTCATCCAAACATAACTGAAGTCTGTTACTCTACTATGGACATCTTACCATTCAACAAAGTGCACATAGCAGTATGGAAGATTTCAATAAATACCAACTTTCCTTCTTGTTTACTATTCCCACACACAAAGGGGGAGAGAGGGAGACATATTAGTTTCATGCCATTGTTAGTTGATAACCAAAACTGATGTAAGAAAGCAAAATTTGACACCCATTCTCCTGTTCCCTTGAAATGCATATACCATGCACACAGTGGTCCTATTTCAGGCTCTTAAATATTTACAGCTATTTAGCTCTCTTTAAACCATGGCATAATTTAAGAATGTATGCATGAGGTCCATCTGCAAACTAAGAGTGTAATCCTAAAAAGAGCTACACCCTTCCAAGCCCATTGACTTCAAGGGTGTCGCTCTTTCGCTTTGTTGCCACTGCAGTTTAAGAGATCTTTCCTAAGGAGGACAAAGTACCTCACCTCTGGAAACTTATACAAATGACAGGACCATCGAAGGGATTTAGGAGGAAGAGAAAGTCTATTTCAGTAATCCAAAAGGAAAAAGCTTCAGTTTCTAACAGCTGGGAGGACAGCGCAAATGCAAAAAAGATGCAAGGCATAGAACAGAAACGTAAAGCAGAAAAGTACCAGGCTAAGCGCCTACACAGGGATTTTATGGAAACATGAATTAGAATTCTAAAAGACTGGGCTTCTCATCATACCTGGTTCTGCCATCACTCTCCTGTGTGTCTAAACAGAACTGGTTTAATGCTTGACACTGCCCTTGCATCCCTGCGCTTTCCAGTGCTTTAAATAGAGCGATATTTGGAATGTGTTGCACCTGCTTCCCTCACCAGTGACAGTTCTTCATTATCTGCTTTCAGCAATTGAAAAAGAGGGGGGGGGGTCCTTTTGTAGTCTACCTCTTGCTAGCATCAAGCAATAAAATCCATAATATTTCCAACAATCAAACAAACAAGTTCTGATGCTGTTGCATGGTGTCCTTTACACAGCTTTTGCACTTGGATGCATTTTACCATCAGTGAAGTGATAGTTGCATGGCTGTACAATTAGACCTTCAATGAAACTTTACTCAGATTTAAAGTTTAACAAAACTGTAGATTTCACACTTGACTGTGCAGGATACTGTTAAACCTGAAATGTGTATCAAGCCTAGTCTTGACAAGCTGTAAAGTAATGACATGGCAAATTAATTTGACAAACTCAATAGGGCTGGCAATTCCATCTTGGGAGATTCCTGGAGATTTGGGGGTGGGGCCTGGGAGGGTAGGAACCTCCGTGGGGATGTCAATGCCACTCTAGGACAGTTTGGTGTAGTGGTTAAGTGTGCGGACTCTAATCTGGGAGAACTGGGTTTGATTCCCCACTCCTCCACTTGCACCTGGCTGGATGACCTTGGGCAAGCCGTAGCTCTGACAAGAGCTGTCCTTGAAAAAGAGCAGTTTCTGTCAAGAGCTCTCTCAGCCCCACCTACCTCACAGGGTGTCTGTTGTGGGGAAGGGAAAGGAGTTTGTAAGCCGCTCTGAGACACCTTTGGGTAGTGAAGGGCGCGGTATAAATCCAATCTCTTCTTCTTCTTCTTCTGTTTCTCCTAGAATCTATGGTATACTGCAAATTGTGCCCTCCAAAGCTGCCATTTGCTCCTTGGGAACTGATCTCTGGAGACAGTTGTAATTCTCTGAGAACTGCAAATCCCACCTTGAGATTAGTGACTCTATACTTCTCTTACCAGTCAATAGCCCTAGTCCATTAAGGGGCAATCCATACATGGAAACTGATGCCTGTGCATCTCCTTTGACATTCAAGAGGCAGCTGTGACAAAAAATCCCCCTGATTATACCATTTCCCTATTTCTGTGGTCACATACAAGAATCTACATTTGTAAAATGTGGCCATGGAAACAACCCTCCCCAAACATTTCCATATTACCTTCCTCTTATCTGGATGGGAGAATGGTCCAAACTCCCCTGATGCCTTTCTGCCAATCATTCGTAGCTCTCACAAATCCCTAGATCAGGTGGCTTTGATTTCTACAATCCTTAAATGAATTTAGCTTCACTTAGACTTTGGAATGCTATGACTTTGAATTAGAAATAGGTGCTATATAAATGCAAAACACTTTTTTTAAAAAAATAAAAATTTTAATTGTTTTTCTAGTCTACAAATCTACAGGGTCAAGGGAAGGGAACAACCTAAAACTACGAGTAGCAAGGATCATTAATACATAAATTCAAGATAATCGACATTTCCCTATTACTCCATTACTAATACCTGAGAGTTAATACTATAAAGGTATGAAAGTATAAAGTGAGCAAATAAAGGTATAAAGGTATAAAGTGAGCAAATACAATCTTGCTTGGCTATAGTGTGTGTTTCTTAGCTTTAAGAATTAATTTATAATAAACATCAGACTTTCAAAGTTACTCTATTTTGCTTATTTTTTTAAAAAAGGTCACAAATATGTTCTCTCTGAGATGTGCTCTTCGTATTGTGGTTTTTTTCATCCCTTTTCTTTCCTTCCCTGGAATTCTTTTGCAAGTCATTCATCAGAAAACCTGTGGCATTTCATAGCAGAGATTTTCAGTATGCAGAAAGGAATCATAAACTAGATAATCTGGAGCAATGATTTTACAGCAGTGAGCCTCTTCAAGTGCTGAAAGAACTAAATTATCTTCAATCCAAGTACTCCAGATGAAACAGCTTTTTAATAATGGGAATAAATTTGGACACCACGTTTGTGAGGATCTGGCCTTGGCAGTCACTGTTCAAACAAATTTATTCTGGCAGACAAATCACAAAGACTCTTTGTTGCTTAGGGTATATAAACTAATATGGCTGTCCCTCTGGAAGTAATATTCTAGCAGAATGTTTTCCCTGCATTGCAAAAACTTCATTCAGTGATTGGAGAAATCAAACTGAAAATAACTGCCAGAGGTTAGTAGCTTAGTTTTGTTGCTTTAGCGGAAAAGCCTGTGCAGGCCCACTTTTTAGTTGCACAAGAAGAAACTGTACATTGACCAGGGGTCCCCAAGTGGGGTGACTGTATGTTCATTTGCACAGGATTTGGTGTTTGAAGCTGAATTCAGCACTTTGGTAAATTAAAACATGGCAAGCACTATTGTCTTAGTAAGGATGTGCATTCGGATAGTAATGAACCAAATAACTAAACGAAAAGCCCACTGTTGCTCATATCTGATATAGTAAAAACAATTTTATTTTTATTTATTATTTATTTTATTGTTATAAAAACTTAATATCCGGTGATATTTGGAAATCTCTTCATTATACTGGCTGCCTTGGAATACACTTTAGAGTTCACAGACATCAGAGGGAGAAGGAAAAGAGATTAGCGGAGCCATCCTAAGCAGAATTGTACCCTTCCGAGTTCACTGAAGTCAATTGACTTAAGGGTTGCCAGGTCCCTCCTGGCCACTGTTGGGGATGGGGGGGAGTTTAAGGTAGTCAGATCCAGGTTGGGAAACTCCTGGACATTTGGGGATGGAGCCTGGGAAGGACAGGGGCCTCAGGGGACTGCAACCCCATAGAGTCCACCCTCCAAAACTTTCCATTTTCTCCAGGAGAACTGATCTCTGTTGTCTGGAGATGAGCTGTAATTCCAGGGGATTCCCAGGTCCCACCTGGAAGCTGTCATCCTGAATTGACTTAGAATGGTATAACTCTAGGATGGCACTGAAAGTAATTAATGTTTCCTTCCACTTACTGGCTGGACTGCAGTTTACGAGCACTAAAGGACTTCTGCTGTGGAGCATGCTTTCTCTGTGCAAGACTGGTGTATTTCACTGAGCACTGGTGCAAGAAGCACCAGCAGCAGAGGAATGTTGCTCCACAATTCAAGGTGTCCAGAGTGTGCAGAATAAACTCAGGGGATCAAAAAATTAATAATCCTGTGTTGTGTGCCAGAGCTGGTGATGGAACCAGCACTAGGGCTGCTGCCTGCTACCGTTGCTGTGAGGTCAGGGGCAGCAGCAGTCCCAGCACCAGCACCAGGCATAGCACAGTCTGACAGGATGGAGCATTCTTATATATCGGACCTACAATAAAAACAAAGGTACTATGTCAAGGTATTGATTTCTAGATAAAGCTGGCTTGAGTCTTTAATACAAATCTATAGGTGCTTTATAGTCAATTATGTTCTATTGAACTTCCAGTTTATTTTTCACACTTTTTCTTCTTGGATTTCAGTTTAATTTTAAGTGGTTTGGGAGCAGCTTCTTCTTTTTCCGAATCCAATACCTCAGAGGCACTGCCAGAGCTACTTGACGTATCTTCAGTTTCACAGTCACTTTTATCATCTTCTTTGTTGTCCTCAGTCTTTCTTCCATCTTTGTTCGGGTTTTCTTGTTGTTCCAAATTTTTTTGGCTTTCTGGTCTTGGTCTTCTTTCTGGTCTTGGTCTTCTTATCTTTATAGTTGAACACAAGTCCTTCTGGAAGTGTCCATCTGTATGAAATTGAGTTATTATGAAGGAAGAAAGTTAAGTCTTTGTATTGTCGCCTTCGCTTCCACACCTCAAATGAAATATCCATTAAAATTTTCACTTCATCATCTTTTACTTTCAAGGTTTCCCCAGATGTAGCTTTCAAAACAGCTTCTCTAGTAGATCTCTTGGAGAATTTCACAAATACTTCACCAGGTAGCTTATTTTTCTTGATGAAATCGATAAGTCAGATCCATAACATTTTGCAGTACATCTTGTTTAAGTTCTGTCATTGGTGCTAATGCTTCACTTAAAAGTTCTTTTAAATTTTCTCCTTTTTGTTCTGGAATGCCTTGAAAGCGCAAGACATACATTGATCTTTCCATTTGGAGCTGACACAGTTGACCTTTATCTGAGATTCTCTCTTTTTCCACTTCTTCCCATTTCTGTTTAATATCTTTTGTTTTTGTCTCAACTTTCTTAATGGCTTTCTCAGTATCATCTGCTGTTTTATCCATTTGTGTCAATTGCTTTTGGACTCCATCCAGCTTGCTGTTGATATATGACATCTGCTCCAGCAGAGGGTGCAATGCCAGTGCCAGCATATTAGGAAAGTCAGCAGCTGCTTCCTGTGTCTGGGAAGGAGTCGTTGGTTGATTATTTCCTGTGAGAGGCTTCTTTTCCGGCACCATTCTTCTCCCTCTACCAGACATTGTTTACGCAAGGAGAAAGTTTTTAAAGTTAAAATGAAAGTTCCCTGATTTAAAAATACTTTGGACTATTTTGCACCTTTCGGTCTTGTTTGCTGTCTCTCACGGTCAGTTTTGCTTTTTCCCTCCCAGTTTATCGTTCAGGAACCGTTTAATTTCATGGGGGGGGGGGAATCCCCAATTCCTCCTCCACCCACCACTTATCTCATGAATTGCTGCCATTCACCTTAAAGGCTCAGCCACTTGTAGAGGGGGATCAGTTAACTCACAGTTCTTCCTCTCTATTTGAAATTCAGTTTTAGTATATTTTGCCTCTCATTTCCCACACGATGTATGCAGTTGTATATTCTCATTGTGAGTACTGGCAAGAGCCATTTCCTCTAACATTTCGCCCTAATGAGCAGTCTAGTCTCTCCGTATCCCTTCACACTGATAATGATGTGGCTTCCTAAGAACAGCTAAGCAGGACCTTGTATTTAAATTAGGATTAATGAGAGGCAGCATTTGGTAAATCATCACATTGTGTTTGCTACACCACCAATCAACAACACTTTATGGAACAGCAGTACTTAAATCCAGACAAGATTATGCGATAGCCAGAAAAACAGGTGTAATCACAATCCTGTT